TTTGGGACAGAGATGCATGTCAAATGTTAAGCAAAGTTTTAAGAAAAAGAGTACTTAACTGTTATATAATATCAGTCCTCTTAGTGAATCCTGGACAATCTCATCACAAATGAAGAAAAGGCTTGAGGCAACAGAAATGTGTTTCTACAGAAGGATGCTGAGAATACCATGAACAGAACACGTGAGCAGCGATGAAGTTCTAGAGAAAATGGAAACAAAGAAAACACTGGTAATTAACATTAGAAAAAGACAGTGTACATTTCTAGGTCGCATAATGAGGAAAGAGGACATGGAAAATTTGACATCCTCAGGACATAATGAAGTCAAGAGGAGCAGAGGAAACAGCGTATAACCTACCTAAGAGCATGTGTAAACGGATGGCAGAACTTTACTAAGAGATACAAAAGAGTGGAAATTGTGGAAACCTATGATTCTTAAGAAGTCATATTTAGAAAGAGCCCAGAATAACTTACAGTGTATACCGTCCGTACATTTACACTTTTGTCAAATGTTTGCAACTTAGTCTCATTTCAAAATCTTTCTTGATCTCTTTAAATATTATTTGCTTTCTTTTCATCCTTGTTGATTGAAACTGGGTAGCGGTTTTTTTCAATCAATGTCCAGATAACTTCATTGCTGGGCAATCGACGTTCATCTGCTGAATCCTGTTTTCTCTACCCATCATTGACATTGCATAGTTGTTGTTTCCAAAATCATCTTTCTACTGTTTTTGCTAAAAGCCCTGTTTTGACATATGCATCCATTTCAATCTTGATGGCTAGCCCGTGTGCTTATGCACTCGCGTATGTGTGTTACGCGTGTGTAAGTTTAATTATGTCGGGTGTGTGTGCGCTTATTTTCCCCCTGCATTCTGTCTTGGAAATGGCGAGAAAAAGCATCGAAATATAAATGAAACCTCGTAATATACTATTTTCGTTGGTCAAATATGATTTGCCGATGAATATAACTTTTCAATGTAACTTGGATAATTTATCGTTCAGTGAAGATTTTAGCTATTTGAACCAGGCGTATCGGAAGGAAACTTTATGTTGATACTTCATAATTACAAATATAGCTTTGATCTTTGAGAATACTTGCTTGTTTACGGACCTTCACTGCTATCGTCAATCATCTTGATGGTGGTTATGTTACTCGTACGTCATAATGGCAGACAATTCTCACATAAAACAAGAAAAATATTTTTATTTACTTACTGATATCCTGTAACCTGGAATTACCTGCCGCGAGAAAATAGGCATGGCAAAATACTGTATATAAGTCGAGTTGTCAAAACTAAACGGTTATCACTTCGGAACTTGAGATCGACGAGCAGAGTTCAAATTCTGGCCTAGTTTGTTGCAGTCACTTTCGCACTTATTACTGTGAGAAATGCACGAATCATTTCCTCTCCACCAAACTTGGTTGATTGATTGTTACATTTTAGATTGTAAGATTTGTTTTATTTTGGAGATAATAATAATTTACTGATGCATGTCCTACTTTACACGTGGAAAGCAATGATCCTTAAGAAGAAAAAGAAGTCCTATTTAGAAAGATCCCAGAATAACTTCCAGTGTATACCGTCCTTGCATTAGAAAGAAGAAGAAGAAGAAGAAGAGGTACAAAAGTGCTCCACCCCACATAAAATTCGGCCTTGTGCCACATTCTGTTATATAGCTGGGAAGAGGGGGAAAGGTTGATTCATACGTTTACCAAGCCACCCTACTTTGGAGTGAATAGCAAAGTAGACTAGGCTATCTAGCTTTGGATGGCCATCAATTTAGGGAAAGGAGTAATCTTAACTCAAAGCCGTAGACAAGGTAAGGGGAAACTACTATTATGTCCAATCAGGTATGGCATTTCAAAGATAATAAATAAAAGAGTTTGTGGAGAGTCATGATCACCCACACCCTGAATGGACGTGTTATTAATTTCGTGAGATGGAAAACTTTGAACATAGAGAAGCGTTAGAAACGACTCTGGGGTAAAGAGAGAATCAACAGGCACCAATTATTCATCAACGGTTTTATTACTGTAATATTCTATCAGGATTACATCGAATAAATATTTAAACAGAAAAATACAATATAAGCTGAGACTTTCCACATTTCCGTATACAACGTCGTAATAATGTCAAAGTTCTCCTTGACTCATCGTTTCCCATTTTATAGGAACATTAACCGATATTTTCATGAATTTTATATTACATAATATAAAAAAGGTGGTGCTTATTTGTCTAATTTGTTGCCTTTATGTCAAACACTTCGATACATCGTCGCCGGTTTTATGTCTTCTTTATTTATTCTTTGCTGATCGCTTCCTTTATAACGACGGCTAAATTCGCCACCATCGTGCAGGTTCAGGACTAGAAGCTTCCAGTTTCACCAAAACCTGCTTCTGTTATCCATTCCCTATCGTCGTTTGGCTTTGCAAGTGTTGTCTGGAGGTGAAAGAAAATCAGGGTAGAAGAAATTGGCGCGAATTTGTTTAAGGTGGATCTCAACTTGTCAGGAAGTGACCCACACCCTTGATTTCAAGACATTCCTCTGTGACACATATTGAATGAAACATACAGAATCCAGTTATGAAACTGCAACGGACTAATTTCGAGTGGCACCTTCTGTATTATGTCCGTTATTTGTAGCCCTCTTCATTCGCTGGTTCAACCGTTGAAATCTGTTGTAATCGTCATCCACTTGTTCCAGCGTTGTTATAATAATAATAATAATAATAATAACTCGGTTATAACACAATGGTCACTCTATAGACGAAATCGACTTAAACACGGATAAATACTCTCATCTTAGTTTCCCACTGCGATGATATCAAAGACAAAATGTCAGATCTGAATGTCTTCTTCTTCTTCTTCTTCTTCTTCTTCTTCTTCTTCTTCTTCTTCTTCTTATTCTTCTTCTTCTTCTTCTTCTTCTTCTTCTTCTTCTTCTTCTTCTTCTTCTTCTTCTTCTTCTTCTTCTTCTTCTTCTTCTTCTTCTTCTTCTTCTTCTTCTTCTTCTTCTTCTTCTTCTTCTTCTTCTTCTTCTTCTTCTTCTTCTTCTTCTTCTTCTTCTTCTTCATCTTCTTCTTCTTCTTCTTCTTCTTCTTCATCTTCTTCTTCTTCTTCTTCTTCTTCTTCTTCTTCTTCTTCTTCTTCATATTCTTCTTCTTCTTCTTCTTCATCTTCTTCTTCTTCTTCTTCTTCTTCTTCTTCTTCTTCTTCTTCTTCTTCTTCTTCTTCTTCTTCATCTTCTTCTTCTTCTTCTTCTTCTTCATCTCTTTCTTCTTCATCTTCTTCTTCATCATCATCTTCTTCTTCTTCTTCTTCTTCATCTTCTTCTTCTTCTTCTTCTTCTCTTTCTTCTTCATCTTCTTCTTCATCATCATCTTCTTCTTCTTCTTCATCTTCTTCTCCTTCTTCTTCTTCTTCTTCTTCTTCTTCTTCTTCTTCTTCTCGCCTAATCCTTATTCTGACAGCCATTTACACAAGCCCATTACGTAGGTTATGAACTGTCCCCTTTGTCCCTCTTGTCCTATGAGTTTCAAAATCCTCAAGCCCTCATTCTTCATCATGTGCTCGAGAGATTCCAACACTGTTTTTGAGTCGAAATATAAATGTTTTTTTTTGTTTTAATCTTCCCTAAAACATCACATATTCAGTCCATACCTTTCTCAACATCCTTCTGTAGAACGACATTTCTGTTGTCTCAAGTCTCCTCTTCATCTGCGAGGTGATTGTCCTGCTTTCACTGTCATACATCGATAGTATCTCTAAACTACTACTATAATGTCAGTTGACAAAGATTGCATTGTTTCATACAGGGACATCTTGTAAGTGACCTCTTGTGTGTACGATAAAATAAAGCGCCTTCTCTTCGTTTTCATTTTACGATTTTTCTTTTATCTGTTTCAAGGAGTAAACAAATCAGATAAGTTATCAGTGTATAGCTTCTTCATTATCCAGTGCTCTAAAAAATATTCTAATGAGAAAATACTAATATATTGTGAAAAACAGTTCATGTGTGAATTGATAACTGACCTTTTCGTCTCAAAATGTTTAAGCCGATAATTGATGCATTAGATTTTTCATATTTAAATGCGTGGAATGTTCCATACCATCTAAATTGGCAGTGTTAATATAATTAACAGAGGTCTTGGATTACTCACACTTGCGATAAGTAGATATTTTTATGAAAAAAAAAATATACGCACAAGATTTCACAGTCACGCATGTCAAAAGTTAGCCTAAATGTAAAAAACAGTTCGCGTTTCGATGTACACAAGGGGAATTCAGTTTTCAATTTCAATGGGAATGCGTAATGGGCGTTTATCTTCATTGATAAGACTCTGGAACATTCCATAGTTCATTTTTGTAAATTAGACAAAGAACACGAAGTAATTAATATATTTTAATAATATAAATGTGAATTGGTTACTTGTTATATCATTAATAACAAGTACATGCCTAATTATTATGTAAGTGGTCAGTTATTATATCACATAGCTAACTGCTAGTCTTCAAGTTTATTTCCTAGATAGTTACATAAAATCTTTGTAGATTAATTGATTTTGTAGTAAATAGATATTCAGAATGTACAGCATTTGTTTCATATTAAAATTCGTTTTAGTCCAGCTCAGATTGTAATAGATAATTTCAGACTAGAACTTGTGTTCTTTTATTGACTGATTGATTCGATTATCAACCTTTGCAGAAGCCAGAATATATATTCAGATTTAAAGAATTTTTTGTGATAACAAAAATTTACTGATACAAGTCTTATTAATTAACTAGAGTGAGAGGAGGTGAATTCGTACCAAATGTATTTGCACTTAAGTCTATATAACGAACACAACTGGAATTGGGACGAGGCTTTCCGGATGAAGTGCTCCACTTCCCATAAAAATCGGCCTTGTGCCACATTCTGCTTTGTGGGGATTTGGGTAAATACGGGCTCTTCGATTAACAATTCTGAGCCATTATCCATTACACCACCAGCACATCCAAGCTTACAGCACCTGATATTCCCAAACGATCACCCATCAAGGTACTGACCAGGCTAGACGTTGCTTAACTTCAATGATGGTACCGGGACGGATTTTTCAACGTGGTGTGGCCATATTTGTGATTTGAGTGTCAGTACATTATGTGAAATTTTTATATAGCTAAATCTTTTCATCATATATTTATATTAACCAACAGACGTTAGTAAAACTTTCAATATATACTTGTATGTTTACGAGAAATATATCATGTGAATTGCCGTCTATAATATATATCCTAAATATTGATAATAACTTGTTCTGAATGACTCGGGTTTTTGTTATACGTAGAGCAAGATAGATTTTTACTGATAAATAAATGTAAAATATATTCATTTTTGAGGTTATATCTTTCTTACAACCCATGATAAACTTTGATATCGGAAAATATGAAATAAATATCAGTAACTGAATATATATAAAATATATATATATATATATATATATATATATATATATATATATATATATATATATATATATGAAAGCGGAGTCCTTAGGTAATAATTTATTTCACGGGATCAAACGCCCATCTCATCAGGCATAATTACAATAATAAATGGTTTGAAAATTTAGCCATACACAAACAAAAAAAAAGAGAAAACAGAAAAAAAAAGAAAAAGGTAAAAAGAATATGTGTATGCGAATTTTTATATGTTTGTTTGTGTGTACTCTTTCGTCTTTATGCGTATATGTACTTCTATGTTTGTGTGCGTGCATGCATGTATGCATATTTATATTTATTGGTATATGTATGTGTATATAAATATATATATATGGATGTGTATGTATGTATATGTATGTGTGTGTGGATGTATATATATGTGTTTGTGTGTGTGTGTGTGTATATATATATATATATATATATATATATATATATGTATATGTGTATGTATGTGTGTATATATATATATATATGTATATGTGTATGTATGTGTGTGTATATGTATATACGTATGTATATGTATATATATGTATATTGGTGTGTATGTGGATATTTTATGTATATTTTTATATATATAGATATATATGTGTGTATGTGTATGTGTATATATATGAGTGCGTGTTTGTGTGTATATAGATGGGCCTATGTATGTAAATATATGTGGCGTGTATATATGTATATACGTTTATATTTTTATATTTTTATTTATATCAATATTTATAGATATGTATATGTATGTGTATATAGATATATATATATGTGTGTGTGTCTGTGTGTGTGTGTAAACTATATATATGTGTGTGTGTATGTATTTGAAATTTCTTAATTTTATGTTTTTAGTCACTTAAAATTGTCCTTTACTTATCACTTTATTTAATTCATTGTTTTTTCATTTTCTCTTTAATATTTTTTATTACTATTGTTTTCATAATCATCAATATTTTTTAAAATTAAAAAGGTAATTCACTGCATGAATAGACATCTTAATATATATTTAATATGTTCCTTTTTGAAGATAATTTTTCTCTCTTTTACTTGTCATGTCCAGGAGAAAGGGAAGAATATTCCAAGTCAAACCGTCTGACTGTTTAACACCTTTCTTTTCCACTCTCACTCTCTCTTCCCTCCCTCATGTCTTTGTATATCACTTTCCACCTTTCCCTTCCACCATATTTAAAAAAAAACAAAACAAAAGAAAAAAAAACAACAAAAAAAAAACAACTTATTTTCAAATATCAATCTTCCCATTTTATTTTCGTGAGTCTTTTCTCTATCCTCTACCCCGTTCTCTTTTTCTTTCTCCCTATGTCCCTGTTTGAGTTTATTCACTCTTTTTTATTTGTGATGTCAGGGTAAAAGGAAAAATATCTAGGTCAACCCGTCGGCTGACGATTTAACATTTTCCTTCACTTACTTTGCTTCTCTTACTTTCTCTTTCTTCTGTCTCTCTCTCTCCCTCTCCCTCTCTCTCTATATATCTTTATCGTGAGTATATTGTTTTTGTCTATATGAAAAAATTATTATATATATATATATATATATATATTTTTTTTTTTTCATTTTTTTTAAGCATTTCATCCCAAGCAAGGCAGGAAGCCACTAGGACGCAAGGGGTTACAGAAAATTCAGAGCAAGATCAGATAGGAGTGATAGAAGAAAGGATGAGGGTAGTGGATAGATCAAGGCAACTGGAGATGTCGATTGACATTACACTTGAATAGCTGGAGATTATAGCTCACAGGGAAACAGGAGAAGGGAAGGGAGTTCCACAGGCGAGAGGTGCGAGACATGAAACTATTAGAGTAGAAGAGACGGCTACATTTAGGAGTTTCAGCAGTGAAGGGGTGAGATCGGGATGCCAGCCTCGTAGGGCGCTGGAACTCATGAAGTCTGGGAACCAGCGAATGCAGCTCCTCGGAGCAATTTCCATGAAAGTATTTGTAGAACAGACAGAGGGAGGCGACGGCGCGTCTGTGAGAAAGTGACTGTAGACGAGACGCCAGGGCAGGGCCAACCACATTGCATATCCGCCTCTGGAGCCTATCAAGAACCCCGAGGCAAACAGAAGGGCACCAGACCATATGGCAGCAATACTCCAGGCAAGGGCGAATTGTTGATTTGTAGATCTGGAGGATCGACTCCGGGGAGAAAAACTTCCTAAGCGCGGCTCAGGGGCCAACTTTCCTTGCAGTGGACGGGCTATTGACTCGATATATTTATTCCATCTCAGGTCAGCAGTCAACGTGAGACCGAGAAGCCGCAGAGAGTTGCACTCGAGAAGTTGAGCGTCAGACATTCTAATGGAGGGAAGGGAAGGATCACTGTGGTGATTAATAGAGAGCAGTTTTGTCTTAGAAGCGTTGAAGTTGACCAGCCAATTCATGCCCCAGTTCACAATCGATTGGAGGTCCTTTTCGAGACGCACGGCCAGGTGTGTTTTGTCAGAAAGACTAGATTTGTTTTTGAGGCAGGACTAAATTGTGGTGTCATCTGCGTAGATGCCAACTTGGGAAGTTATGGCGTCAGGAGGGTCATTTATGTAGATAAGGAATAGAGTGGGGCCTAGGATAGAGCCTTCAGGAACACCTGCGTTCGTGGGATAGGAACTGGAGGAGAATCCGTTGAGAACGACCTTCAATTCACGGTTTGACAGGAATGATTGTATTAGGTTATATAATCGACCGGTAATGCCATAACCCTGGAGCTTGCGAAGAAGGCCGGCATGCCAAACCCTATCAAATGCTTTGGAGATGTCTAGTGTCACGACACGGGCTTCCCCGTTATTTTGGAGAGCTCGGTAGACTGTTTCAGTGATGGCTGTAAGCACATCGGCTGTAGATCGGGCAAAGCGGAAACCATATTGCTTGTCTGAGAGCAGATTATGGGATGTGAGGTGGTTAACCACCCCGGTATTGATTAGAGCTTCGAAGACTTTGTCGAAGAGGGGAAGGAGACTGATAGGACGGTAGTTGGAAGGGTCAGAGGGGTCGCCGGAGTTCTTGAAGACAGGAACGATCGAAGAGGACTTCCAGCAGTCAGAAAAACAAGATTCCTTGAGGCAGTAGTTGTATAGTTTAGAAAGGGCGGGCGCCAGTTCATACGCGCATTTCTTCAAGACAATGTCTGGTATCCCGTCTCCACCACTAGCTTTGTTGGGATCTAGATTAGAGATAACGCCCGAACTGGTTGAATAAAGGAGGTATAGAGGGTTTGCAATTGTCCAATACGCTCTTGCAGAGACGCCAATAATCTTTGGAGCCAAATTTGCGAGATGCAATACGTTCCTTCATTCGAGCCGCAAATAGTGACTTAGCATCGTTGAGGACACGCTTACATTCGTTACGGGCGGAGGCAAAGAGACGTCTATTGCAGTCAGACATGTCGCTACGGAATAGGTGGAAGTAGTGGTTCCTATGGGCGATGGCGGCTGAGCAAGCAGCGGAGAACCAGGGAGAGGAGCGCAACTTAACCCTATATTTCCTTTATGGGATGAAAGCGTCGATTCCAGCTTTAACCCAAGAAGAGACCTCAGCAGCACATTCTTGGACGGGGAGCTTAAAGACTCCATCCCAGGGGACATCGCGGAGGAAATCACGAAACGCGTCCCAGTCAGCTCGTTGATAGTAGAACGAAATTCTAGTGGTAGGAGGTTCTTTATATGGGGTGGAGTTAAAGGAGATGTTAACCGATACTACTGCATGATCAGAGTTACCAAAAGGGCAGAGTTGCGAGGCGCTGCAGGATTCGGGGATGGAGGTAAAGCACAGGCCGAGTAGAGAGGCTTTACCTTCCCGGTTGAAGGCAAAACGAGTGGGGAAGTTAACTATCTGTGAGAAGGAATGGGAGATTGAAAAATTGAGCGTTTGAATGCCTGCTTGGTCAGTAGTAGCATTCTTAAGCCACAAGATGTGATGGGCGTTAAAGTCTCCAAACACAAAAATGTGAGCAAATGGGTGGAGGGAGAGAGCCTTGTCTATGCTGTCAGAAATGCTATCGAGTATCTCACAGTCTTGAGCGGATGGAGAGCGGTAAAGGAAGAAGAGATAGCCTACCGTATTGAGGAGAGAGAGAGAGCCGGAGACACATATATGACTGGTCAGGCGATTCGAGAGAGGACTCTCTGGCCAGAGGGAGATGTTCCTTGACGTAGACACCAAGACCGTGCATGTGGGTTAGAGAGTCTTTTCTGAGGAGAGGAAGATAGCCGGGGATCGAGAGATCAGAAGAGAGGATAGACGAGACAAGGTTTGTCTCACAGAGAGCCAGTATATCTGGGCCGTTTGCAGTGAGGAAAGATTCCAGACTGCAGAAGTTTGTCCTAATGCCCCGGATGTTGGAGAACGAAATGTTGAGGGGGTTTAGGTGGTTTTGAGAGGCTGGTTTAGGGTTAATCTTTCGGTTTTGTAACTCATGTTGAATTTTGTTTGTAAGATGCGAAGGCCCGAAGTAAAAGAAACAGACAGTTTCGACCGTGACGCGGGCAGAAAGGAGTTGGCAAAATCTGCATCATTATGTGGCCTCAGGGCTGCCCACCGGAGGTGACTGCAGGGACACCTTTCGATGCGCGACATGGCACTACAAACACCCCGGTATTATACAACTGTTGATCAGAGCGGCCGCTCAAGACGCTACG